GTGATTCATATCTAACCCAGCCTATTATTTATCCAGCTCTCATTAATCTATTCATCCTGAAGTTAATCTCATTCATCCTTTCGTTCGCTTTGAAGAATATATAGCTGCAACTTTTTACATAGTTTGCATAATGAATATAGTAGACTGTAAAAAATTCTAAAAAGTAAAATGTAACAAACATTCATGTTTATGTGTTAAAAAAAGGTTGCTAAAAATGCACACATTCTCTTTAAAGAAATGAAAAAGACTGGTGATTGATTAAATGAATTCTTTTATTTTTATGCAAAACTGAATCATGCAATATTATTATTATTATTATTATTATTATTATTATTATTATTAATTTGATATATTTTAATTTGGTCTCAATTTGTCATGGTGCCTCTTGTAATCTTATTACATAAGCATTTTGTAGGCACTTATGATATATGTCTACATATTTATACCACACAACCCACACTTATTGAATTCTGACAAATGGTAAATATTACTACTACTAATAATAATGATAATAATAAAAAAATAATGATAATAATAACAATGTATCTGAAGATCTTCAAAAAAACTATTAAAATACAAGGATCTTGAAATGGGAATCTCAAAAATGTGGCACATGAAAACATGAATAATTCCAGTTGTAGTTGGATCTCTGGGATTGATTAGAAAAGGGTCTGATAGATGCTTTGAAGGGATTCCTGGTAGCCCATGCCTTAAAGAAATATAAAAAAACTGTACTCACAAGTATAGCTCACACACTGCAAAGAGCTTTATCTATGTAAAATGTGTGTGATCTTAAGTTTTTTTTTTACATAATATGATCAGTGGAAAATATCATAAAGATATTTCTGACCTTAAGTCTCTGGTTGGGACCAGCAAAGAAATGAGTAAACAACAGAAATCAAAGGAAATAATAATAGTAATAATAATAATAATAATAATTTTTTTTATTTTTACAAAAATTGATCAGTAGAAAGTGTCATAAAGCCATTCCTGACCATAGGTTGCTGGTTGGGATCCAGAAGGAAATGAGTATACAACAGAAACCCAAGGAAATACTACTACTACTACTACTACTACTACAATAATAATAATAATAATAATAATAATAATAATAATAATAATAAATAAAAAAAATAAAATGTGATCTTAGTGCATCTTTTTTTTCAAATTTTTTTATTTTTTTTTTTTTTACACAAATGTTCGGTGGAAAATGTCATGATGCCATTTCTGATCTTAGGTCCCTGGTTGGGAGCTGGAAGAAAATGACTATACAACAGAATCAATTGAAATAATAATAATAATAATAATAATAATAGTGTACAAATGTCTGGCAAGAGGCACAAAGAGCACCAGAAAAAGATTAAAGGAAATGGAAATTAGGAAAAAAATTTAAAATCACCCTGAAGATGGCATTACTGAAAATGGTTAGAATATTCAGAGGAGTACTGGAGTTTTGAGGAGACTTACTGTAGTGAGAAAATGAACGCAGGTGTAACTTAACTGAAGCTTTATTCAACTTAGAATGAAGTGTGTCTTACTAGACTTATTTAATATAGAATAGGTAGAAGGGGAGATAATCCATACCACACTTGTTATCGATTGATCTCTAGTGGAAGCATAAATTAATAGAAATTATTATTATAATAAGGTTAAAATAAGGTTTGCCAACTGGATTTGATTCTGGTTGATGTTGGCAGCTGACTTTACTCATATTGGAAAACTGGTTGTTCTGACAGACTACTCAAAGAATGTGAAAACAGTACATCCGAAATCTGCAAAAAATGGGGATAGGGTTGTACTTATAATGATTGACATTCCTGGGACACTCAGTGAATAAAATTGAGAGATAAGGAGGGATCTTGGCACTGTCTAGACTGCGGAAGTGATTAAATTGTTGAGACTATGGAATGACATGCTGGAGATTTGAGGAGACATGCAGCCACTTGATCTGCAATAATAACCAGACTACATGGTTTGTAAATAATAATAATAATAATAATAATACTAACCACAGAATATAAAGTTTCAGTTAGTGCCCATAATAAGTAGAGCACTTGGAATGGTTCCAAAAGGCAATAGAAAAGAGATTGAAGGTTTCAATTTTTTGAAACAAAAAAAATTGAAACCGTTGAGATCATTGCAGTTTCAAATGAGGATACTGAGGAAGGTGCTGGAAACTTGAGGAAAATTATCACTTGATCTCCAATAATAACCAGACAGACGGTGCGAAAATAATAATAATAATAATAATAATAAAAATAATAATAATAATAATCATGGAATATAAAGGTTCAAGTTATGTCCATAATAAAGCACTTGGAATTGTTCAAAAAAGTGCTAGAAGAGAAATTGAAGAAAATCAAACTTTTGAAGATGTTTTGAAACTGATCAGATCACAGCCAAAGTTTATGAGGATGCTGAAGAAGGCACTAGAGATTTGAGAAGACTTATCTGTAATCAAAAGGACAGTCTGGTGAATATACAGATGAATAAAAAAAAGCATAAAAAACAAATAAAACAAAACAAAATAAAAATAACAACAACAGCAACAAAAATGGTAAAACTACCATAAAACCATATTAGGAAAAAATGTGTTATATTTTTTGTATAAGAAAAAATTTCAGAAATCTTGAACCTTTGTGCACACAAAAAATGGAGAGTCAAAAGAATGGTTCTCCCCTTAACACCATTTTTATTTTAACTACCTCCACTCCTTGCCAATGTTTATTGTTTTAAAAAGTGATGATTAGAATTGTAATAAAACCTAAACAAAGGCTGAAAGTGAATTTATACATTTTTTCTTCTTAAATATTTATAACAAAAATATTAAACGCTATTCATTTCTTTTGATTGTATGTGATTTAAATAATTTTGTCAAATCTTATGTATATTGTTATTAATTTTAAAATTGAAGCCAGAAGAAAATTGGTAAGATTTTTGACATATTGTGCTTTCTTATTTTAATAAATAGAATTGTTTTGCTATGCCCATTTTGATTGTTATACACACCATGTTTCGGCTGTTATATCTTTCTTCAGTTGTATGTCTTCATAGTAACCTTCTGGGAATTTTGAACTGAATCCTTTATTCAATCCATAGGGGCAGATTGTTCTCATTTTGCTTGCCATGTATAGTGGATATTTTTTATATCAGTTTCTACTCACTGGTTTTATTAACTGTTGTCTTGCTTCTTTGTTTCTGCAACTGAGCCAGAGTAAAGGACTCTTCATCATTACTAAACCCAAGGATTTTACTCATGGGTATACAATATATCTTAATCAGCACTTTAATCCACTTAGTCATCTATCATGTGGTCAACATCAATACAAATACAAAATACAATTTTTTACTATTTATGGAGAAGTGACTGTAAATAAAGGAACAGCTGAAATGTGACTTGTAGAATTTTATGCTCAAAGTTTATCACTGGACAACAATCAAATAAAGGCACTGCTTGATAATAACCAAAGTTATACAACAAAGAAAATATGAAGTGTTGAAAACACTAACTTGTTTATGTTAGTCACCTTGAAGTGTGGCTTTCGCATTAGTTAAATAAGAAAAGAAAAAATAAACAAGTGAACTTGAAAGTGTTTAAATGATCGTTTTTTGAAATAAATTGTGATTGGTGATGAAAAGTGGTTACCTTACAACAATCTGGAATACAAGAGATCATGAAGCAAATGAAAATAAACCACCAATATCTGTACCAAATGCTTGTCTTCATCCAAGGAAGGTGGTGCTGTATATACAGCAAAATTAAAAGAGAGTCTTTTCCTTTGAGCTCCTTCTAGAGAAAATTTAATAAAATTTAAATGATTGATTCAAGCATATACAGCTTCCAGTTAGATAAATGGAAAACAGTAAATGACCAAAAAGTATCCACAATTAATTAAGAGAAAGTGTAGCAAGACTATGCTATATTTACTCGATGTTGAACATTAGAATTACCATTTTCCCCAGTCTTTACATAATTTTCTCATAAAAAAAAACACTTTCCAAATCCCTGGAAAAAGGTATCTAGAGCATTTAGCATTACTTAGAAAAATAAAAACCTTCTGGGAAAAAATATGAAATTTCCTGAAAGATACTAGAAGGCAAAAAGAAAATTGTAAATATGTTGTTTAATTGCTAATGTTGAAAATAAAATAAAATAAAAATAAAATAAAATTGCTAATGTTGAAAATAAAATAAAATAAAAATAAAATGAAATTGCTGTTGAAAATAAAATAAAAATAAAATTAAATTGCTAATGTTGAAAATAAAATAAAATAAAATAAAAATAAAATTGCTAATGTTGAAAATAAAATAAAATAAAAATAAAACTGCTAATGTTGAAAATAAATAAAATAAAATAAAAATAAAAGAAAATTGCTAATGTTGAAAATAAAAATAAAAATGGTCTTTTATTCTTATTTAATAAACCAAATAGAATTTGAATTTTTTTACTTTATAATAAAACTGATCAAATAACATATTTTGTTCTTCAGAAATGGAAAAATTGAATAAAAAATCTGTGAAAATATATTTTTCTTTTGTTTTTTAGAAATGTGAAAGAAAGATTGAACATTTAAAAGGCATAATAATATGAGACCAAGTTAAAAAAACAAAAAAAAAACAATCAGAATGACTTTCATTTTGAATTTTGTAATTTTTAATTCCCAATCTCCTTTAGATAGTTTTTATGTCATGTCTTAAGTTCAATTAAATTTTCTTTCAATGTCCTTGAAAAGTAAGAATAATTATTCATTGTTTTTTTAAATTTATTTTTGGGTTTTTACCTTTTTCAATATATTTTCATATATATGTGAACGTTGATCTTTCATTTTCTTTTTAATTTTCTAATATTTTTGTATTTTGATCATTCTTAATGTCTAAATGTATATTTGGAGGTAGAAAAAAAATAGAAAGCAAAATAAAAACGGAAATATGTATCTGTATCTACTGATCTGTTAAACAATATTTATTGTCAAGTACAATTTCTTTGTAAAAGCTTGAGT